GTGTGTGTGACAAAAGGGGGAGATCTTAAACAATAACACACATACAAACACAAACAAAGGCACTCACACACACAAAAACACACACACACAAACACACACATACACACATACACAAAAATGAGAGAGAGAGAGAGAGAGAGAGAGAGATAGAGATAGAGAGAGAGAGAGAGAGAGAGAGAGAGAGAGAGAGAGAAAAAGGGAGAAGGAGAGGAGCAGGGAGAGCGAGGTAGAGAGACAGATATAATTATATTAATAAATAAACAGACAGACCGACAGACAGACCGACAGACAGACAGACAGACAAAAAGAGACTGTAACAAAGACAGAGACAGAAGGAAAAAATATCCCGCATTCTGCAAAATCGTATCGCGTCGGACAAGTTACATGTGTGCGCATGTAAAAAGGTCCCAGTTGTCGGAAAGTTTAAACATGAAACAAAGGCATATTCTTGTTGGGAATGCAATGCTAAACACATTATTTTAAAATTTTTTACCAAGATCCTGAGTAGATTTAAAGATATGCCACATTTTGTAACACAGGGTGTAATAAAGTTTGAAAAAAAAAAAAATTCTGGCACACTTTTTAACCTATAATTAAGTACAACATGTTTCAAAAATAAGTAATAAAATATTTAGACTTACAACATTATAAAAATCATTTCAATATATTATCATGAAATGGTTAAACGTGAGTTTCTCATCATGGGACTTAATTTTTTACCTGATACGATATTTTTGGCCTTTTCACTTCGTTGGGACCTTTCTCCAGACACACACACAAAATGTTCACATCAGTAAACTCGAAATAACGCTGACAACAAAACCAACAATATGTGTGAATGGAGGGCGTAAAACACATGCATTATACACAATTTATATTTTTAAAACCCCAACAAATCATAAATCAAACCCAAAAAAAAAAGAATGAAAAACGAAATAGTTGCTCACAGCATGAAATCTGATCGGTTGTCTCGAAACAACACTTATTTTGTGATCGAGCACGACGGCTTACTCACTCGCTTGTTAGTAAAATTTTGCGTTTGTACTTTTTTGAGAGTTGTGTACCGGATGTTTTCGTGGTATTTGTGTGAAATTTGATATTTTCAGATCACTCGTGGTTTGTGTTTTTTCTTGCGAAATAATGAGCCAACGTCTAGAAGCAAGTAATGTATTATGTATATTTCTTTTTAAGCAAAAAACAGAAGTATATATACGCATAATATTCAGCTAGAGTGAGAGAGAGAGAG